CAAATTAAAAAGGGAGATCCTCGAAACATATCCAAGCGTTTCCTGGATAACAATTCGTAGGATGAACATTTTATTTGCGATCATCAACCATAATTCACCATGAAGATGAATAGCAGGAAATTTTTTGAAAATATTAATTAATTCTGGTAGCAGTCCTACAATATGAATAGGTAACTTTGAGTTTGTGAAATACAATGATACAGTGAGATCCCCAGATGCATATGTAATTGGATCAAGAGTGTCCTGATGTTGGAATATCCCCAAGTCAAGTCTCATTTACCTTTCGACTTTTATGCAAATGTTTTTAATTGGTTCTCATTTTTGTCAAAAATTGGAAATGAGTCCTTGAAGATTTGATAAAAATTGTTTTCCCTGACTCCAAGTTATTGTAGAAAACAGCAGTGCAGAATAAAACCACACTGATCTTTTGGTATTGAAAGGAGATCAAGAAGCTAACAGAAAGAATAGTTCTTATTGCTAGAAATGCACAGATGATAGAAAAAAACTCTGAAAAGAGAAGCAAAAAATCAGCTTCCTTTTGATCATGAATTAGAGGAAGTTTATAAAGAAATATTTGTGAATATAAATACTTTACTGTAGTTTGATTTCTTCATAATATATAAAAATAAAACGTTTCAATTTTGGGGGAAATGTTATAAAAGTTTCCCGAACTATTGAGCCAATGTCCAGATGTCAGTCCTGATTTTTGGTTTTAAAGTTTTTGTAAGTCAAATTTTTCATTTTTTGGGTTGTCTGCATAGTGCATACTGGGGTCTCACTGTACACTTAAAATACTTGACAGAGTCTTGTAATTTTGACGAAATTTTGCTGCAGGAAACCCGTTGCAACCAGGACGAGAAAAATTGGCTAAACTGCACTGTAGAAGGGTTTGCATCGACTATGAGAACTGTGAACCTTGTTCCAAATAGGTACCCAACCCAAAGCCCCCCCCCCCCCCACTTTTTTTTAATTGGATACAAGTTTCAGAACAGTGTTTGGTGGCCCTGAGAAGCACTGCTTGGTTTCATTAGTCCTAAAAATGACTGTTGAATAATCATCTTCAAAATTGCCTTCTGCTGCCTCTTCCTCAATGTCATTTTCTTCTCAATGTGGCCCTCTTATCTCATCCCCTTCTTCATTAGCACATTTCCAGCACATATTACTGGCATTTGTGTTCTTAGCCATGAATAAATAGCCATCTAGTATACATTTTCACCACCCTTCTGATTTGTGATGATCTGAAGTGCACCAGCCATTGGATCAACAAGGTGAACTGTAAATTTTGCAGAAGTCAGCAAGTGATGGTGCTTTGACATTCAGAGAATCACTGATGACCACTACAGGTGAGGAATCCCTTTATATGCTCAACTTACAAACATACTGCTGGTATTTGGCCTTGTGCTGGGCCTGCTAGTGAAAGGTGCAGCTTACCATCAAGAGTGACGAGAATACTTGTTTTCCCCAATGTTTGCACCAAAGGGGGTGTTTTAGCAGGAGGGCTTTTGGCAGGGGGCTTTTGGACCACACCCTGCCAAATGACAATCACTGCACTATTTTTCATGATTTTTCTCGTGAGAAACCAAACAATTCTCATGTTTTAATTTTTAAAAATGCGATGACTCTTCAAATGTTTTCTTCCGGAGATTTTGGGAACATTTTCCTTCATAATGCCCGCGGTAAGTACAAATTTGTTTTTTTATTCTTGTACAGTACAGTACCTTGAAAATGAATTCGTCGTTTTCCCGACGTTCGCAGCAACTTCTGCAGGAGGCACCAGTACAATGGCGCAACTCAAAAGACTGGCTGACACCAGAAAAAGCCCATAGACTACCAGGAACCTTCTGAACTTGCCCGCAAATTTATCTTCCCAGGCGTGTCTCATCCACAGCGACATCATCGGATGCGACAACAAGGACTTCCTGGTGAAGTCTGGCTTGCCCCTGAGGCTTTCTGAAAGGGTCTGGAGTAGCTTGTATCCTCCGGACCCGGGTGCAGTGTATTTTCCTTTCTTTGTCTGCTTTTTCTCCGTCGCTTTGTCTGGAATATGCTTAGTAAGTGGGAAGCAACACGATGTTGTTCCTCCTGATGAAAACGGTATCGATTTTTCTGGTTGGGATTGATTTTTTGAGGGTAGTGTTGCTGCGGGTTCTTTGAGGTGGGAGAAATATTTGGTTCTGAGGTTGACCAGGGTTGAGTCGTGGGCAAAGCCGTCGGCGTCCACGTCTATCCGTACTTGGCAGCAAGCGAAGCGAAGTTGCAGAGAGTTTTGCAGAAACTTTTCTGCGAAATACTCGTCGGCGATGTTCACCACGTCCTTCAGAGTGGTTATCCGAACCTGCGGAATGATGCACATTTTTCTTACGCCATCATATACAGTAGTACAATATGATGGGATGATCTTTCCTCCGATGAATTATGGATTGAAAAATATTTTCGAGAATGATTATAGATGAGGAAAAAATTAAATTTCCTCAGATATCCTCCTGTAAAATTAAAAATTTCAATTGCTAATGACTTAAAAATTACTCAAAGAAATGTTGTATCTTCAAGTTGAGTAACACATTTTTATTTGAATTTCAGGGGATTTATCCACAGTTTTTTCATAAACTGGAGAAGCAATTGAATGAGTTCCCATCAAACTCTATGGAAAAACCAGATCAAACTTGTAGATGTTCCAACACTGGGACAAGGTCCAAACACCAATTAAGTCAGCATCTCAGGTTCTCAATATACTTTAAAGCAGCAAAAACTTGGGTGCGCAAAATACACAGGGATAAGTTTCTGATGGACAAGTTCTGAGCAAAAAAAAGTTGGGCATGCATCTCACTTCAAGACTCCTGGTAATTGAGTAAAAATGGTACAGCTGGTGTCCCAGAATTTGACCTTAACCTATGTTGCTGGACTAGAGTTGAATTGCAAAGCAGTTACACTTAATTGTGAAGTAACATTAAATGCAGTGTTTTCAACATTGTATTTGATGTTTTTGCCCACCTCTGCTGGGACAAACTGCAGATCATAGGTTAAATTGCAAGTTTACCCCCCAGAAAATACAGTGAGACCCCCACATGCGGACGCCTCAACCTGTGGACAATTTGACATAGGGGCACTTATTTTCCCAGAAAAAATTAATAAAAATGGCCTGACATGGGGACACTGACTTGACATAGGGACATTTTGTGATAGAATTGCAAATAAATTTCAGGCCAAATTACAAGAAACAGAAATTTCCAACCCTAAAATTGACGTAAGAAAAGTTCTTGGGCATTTCTCTCACCAAATTACCATCCATTTAGCTAATTAAAAAATTACCTCCAGCATAGAGGGACTTCTACTTTTTTCACTTCAATGTTTTTTGTAGATTTCAAAATTTCAGTTTACAGTATGGATATACACTATTCAATGCTCCAATTGTTCTTATTGAGTTGAAAATGTATTCTCTAATTCAAATTCAAATGGCAAACAATTTTTTCAGGGAATTCTGAAGAATATCTCTTCCACAAAACATCAATTAAAAATTATATAATGTAAGTATATGGGAAAACAAGACTTGACTTAGGGACACTCTTGATGCACCAATTACATCTGTATCTTGGGGTCTCACTGTACTGTAGAGTGTAGACTGCTCTCTACTTTATTCTTCTCAGACCCCCTTTTTCCTCTTAAATTAGACAACGAACAGTTTCGCATGTTACTCGAGTAAACCCAGCGTATCCATAAAGTGACCAAGTGTCCGCAAGTCGGGGCCTCCGTTGTGTAGCACTCAATGAGAGACGCCCTCTCATTTGACCCCACAGTTATTCCACGTAACGACAGTCCTGCATTTCAAAATGGCTCAAAACCAGCGACCTCAGTTTCAACTCGATGAATTGTTCTTTATTGCTCAGCAAGCAGCGCACCCATCTTAAAACCAATACAAATATTCGCCCTCACCGACATGGCAACGATAAGCAAGGACAAAAATGCCTCAGTCCCACCGGCACCGACTCTTTTTTCTTTTTTTTTACACCCCCGCCCCATTTCCAACAATCCCTCCAAAAGGAATGCACGATCGGCAGCAGTACTGTAGAAGTACTAGGGCGTGCAGAGGTGCGGGGGATCTCATTTAAGAACCACCAGAGCTCCGTGCGTAAGTCAGAGGAAAAAAACAACAACAAAAAAAAGCCCACGATGTATACAAGTACAGTGAAAAATACCGGTTTTCTTCGCCTCCGCGGGGGACAGAATTCTTCAGTTCCTCTTCATCTTCTTCTTCTCGTCCTCGTCAACCTCGTCGTCCTCCGTTATTTCTTCTTCTGACGAACTCCTCACGTCCTTTTCCATCTTGGTCGGGATCGAAAAAAGCAGAATAGAACAGCGTCAGGCAGAGAATGATGAGAAGAAATCATCAATTACTTATTGACCCTCATCTGCTTTAATAGAACGAAACAACAGAGCCGGAAACATTTAGATTTTGTACACGGCACAACTATGAACAGTTTCCCCACTCAGATTTCACGGATAAATTGCTCTCCTCAAATTAAAAATTAAACAGTTGATCCCATAATTTTTTTTTTTTCGTCAATGCATCAATGGAAAAATCTTCATCTCTGAACAACAAATCCAAATGACTTCAAAAATTCCCACTCATTAACCACAAAATCATAATGGATGGGAGAAGAGGCTTTCTTGCCAAAAACACAATTTTCAGATGTGCAAAATAACTGCTGAGCATGTAATGCAGCTAAAAAAATTTTAATAAGTCAGTAAAAAACAGTTCGAATTCAAAACTCAGGGTTTTCGACATTTGAATAAAAACTACTTCAGAATTATTTGAACACAATGAGACCCTCATAGGTGGACACCCCAACATATGGACAATTTGACTTGGGGACACTTGAAACCAAAAAAAAAATAAGGCCTGACATTGGCTCAAGTTAGAGACACTTTTCTGAAATTTTCCAAAACCTCAGAACATTTAATTTCAATATCTTTTGAACAAATCAAGCTACTTAGATTCAAAAGAACAGAAAAAATAATTCATGATAAATTCACTCCAATTTGTAATCAAAAGCAAGCTGATTTTGTGCTTCTTAATACAGTACATAATTTTTTCCGATCATCTGTGCATATTCTAGCAAGACTTATTCTTTTTTTCCTGCTTTTTGATCTCCATTTGATACCAAAAGATGAGATTCCATGTGGTTTAGTTCTGCACAGTTGTCTTCTACATTTTGAAGTTTAGGGAGACAATTTTTACTAAAAATTTTTTTTAGAACTCATTCCTAATTTTTTGAAAAAAAAAGGTAAAAAATGTGCATTGAAGCCACATAAGGGAAAATGAGACTTTGCTTAGGGACATTCCAACATCAGGACACTCTTGATACACCAATTACATCTGCATCTTGGGGTCTCACTGTACACTGAAAAAATATGACCAAATGAGACTTTATTCTTTCTTGGTATCTCTTTTTTTCCATCAAAGAAAAGATTATGTTGATCAAAAGTACTTTTCCAGAGCTTGAGGAATTGCAGGAAAAAAAAGAGAAACCTCCCTCAACTTTCCCAAGTTTTCTGAGAAATAATCAATGGGGTCTCAATTTAATAAGATAAAGGCACAATTCATCAAAAAGCTTGACAAAATATTCTTCAACTTTTTCAAATATTTGTGATCACTCCAAATGTTCTGCAAATTGATTATTCATGCCAAGTATGACAGTTGAACACTTTTCTCTTTCCCTGAGCTGGAGAGGTGGACTTGAACCCCTCTGTTTTCAAACAAATTCTATTTGGTTATGCAAAATGTGCATCAGTATTCAAATTACCAACAAATACTGGTGAACTCTTCTCAACAACCCTTTTTTTCTGTACAGGGATTTTTGAAGTCCCATAGTTCTCTATAATGAAATTCTTTCATGAAAAATGCTTTTCCACAAAAATCAACACCAATCTTGATTACTGTATTTACTCAAGAACCCTTGAGTAAGGCACGCACAGGGGTTTTTCAGTTGGAAATTTGGATAAAATCTTATACCCAAATAAGACGCGCACCCCAATTTTTAGTGAATTTAAAACCACAAAATTTCGAAAATAAATTCAAAAAATTTGACTTTTAGACATGAATTGAAAAAAATTGGATCAATTTTCAACTTTTTCAGTACAAAAAAGTTTTCTTGTTACATTTGTTTGAAATTTCTCCTTTATAATTAAGTATAATGCACACATAACTTCCTAAAACTTATTGAAAAATGTGTACCTGCTTATGAGGCGCACCCCTTTTTTTCTTCTGAAATTCGAGAAAAAAGGTGCACATGGTACTCAAGAGTATACGGTAAATCAAGCATCCGATGAGAGAAGCAAACGAACACATTAACTGAAAACGCAACACCACAGTTCACAGACAAATCTTCACAGATAAATTTGATTCTAATTCTGGTCCTGCATCCGTAAGATGAAACCCACGCAAAAATATAAACCCGATTTTACCCAAGAAACATTGACGATCACAAAATTCAATTTCTCTCTCAAAATATTAAAAAAAAGAGAGCAAAATACCCACGCCTGCGTGGCAAAAGAAAACCTGAAACCCAGGGTTAGATGAAACGAAAACGGGGTGAAAGGAACGTTACAGGGGATAAAAACAGAAAAAAAGTCACGTTCATCGAAATAAATCGGTAAACCAATGCTTGACAAAAACCGGGATCTACGTAAAAAAAAAGAAAATTAAAGAAAACTCATAAAATGCCAAGCAGATGGAAAAAAATTAAAATGCGTAATGTATCCGTCGTCACGGGGGAGGAAAAATGGTCCAGCCAAGAAATGCCCATCAATATTTTCTTCTTTTTTTTTTGCACAAACTTCAACTTTTTCTCCAGTGGCATATTGTTCCGCTAACAAAGAAAACGATACCGTTCGTCGTGTTTTTTTTTCTCATGCAATAAAAAAAATGAGTTTCAAGCGAACTTCATGCGCATCTAAGCTTCGGAACGACATGCGAAAAAAAACAAAGCCTCCCTAATTTTTTTTCCCAGCGCAACAAAATCACAGAATTTTCTTTTAGCCCCAAATCCCGTGCGTTTTTTTTAACAAATGTGTGCTAAAACCCACAAGTGTGCAGAAATGGGGGTTTTCCCCTTATACCTCTGCCCTCAACGATACTTTTTTTCCATCAAAATTTCGCGAAACACAGAAGTTCAGACCAATAAATCATCACGCCGTAAACGAATCTCAATAAAAAAAAATAAAATAATAACACGGGTGAAATAAAAGCTTAAGCTGCGAATCTGAGTCGCTCACAGGGCGCCACAAAATCCCACTGACTCGGAGAAAAATCAGTTCCATCCATCTGCACATAATCGCAATAATAAAATATAAAAAAAGACTAAATATAAAAAAACCCGCAGCCCACGGCATATTTTTCCTTCAAGCAAAACCAGGAACCTTCTTTCTCCAGAAGCATGAGAATGTCCGGGTAACTTGGTAGTACATGAACATACGTTGAAGCTTAAAAAAAAAATTACACAGGATTTTAAACGTTGTCAAAACGATCGATTAGTCACTCGAATATAAAGCCTCTCATCGTTTCGCATCACAAAGCGAATATCTCGGTTTAGTTATTGAAATATTTTCCATGAAATTATCACAACCGTTTCTTTTTTTTTAGACAAACACACAGACAAGCAAAAAAATAAAACCTCCGATAGACAAAAAAAATACCCAGTACAGTGAAATAGTTCACACACAGATTTCTTAGCATCTGCAATAAGCCGGAAAATATTGGTTTCCGTCTCAAAATTGCAGGAACCATCAACACTGAAAAACTGAATTTAGAATCAAGGGAAAAAACCTAAATCCTAGTTTCCAGAAGCTATGGACGCTGAAAAACTGAATTCTGACTCGAAGTATACATTGCTCATGTTAATTTTTAAAAAAATCATCAAACTTCCTAAGCAAGATTTCACACTTCAAACTGCTCCGGAAATTCTATTTTTAATTTCCCGAGATAATCAAAATACTGCTCAGGAAAATATAGACATAAAAAAAAACTTTTGTTTCGAACCAAAATTCAGTCACTCAGCACGCATAGTTTTTGAAAATGTTTTCAAAATGTCCTCGTCCATCCTGTGCAACGAAAAATCCCTTGCAGGGTGAATCCTGCCCCGCACCTTCCAAAATATTGCAAAAATAACCAACACATTCTTGTTTTCCGTGTTCTTAAAAACGAACAATTGAAATTTTACGCAACGGAAATTGGCACGAGGACTGATTCGACAACCTTCCGCGTTCAAAAACAGCATTTTAACAACCTCGCTCGCGTAGTCTCTCTCGGAACTGAAAAAAATCGAAGGAAAATGAAAATGTTCAAAAATTACAACCCTGACAGCAAAAAAACTAAAAAAAAAAAATAGAGCGCATTCACAGAAAATTTCGAAAGTCATCAAAATGAGATTGGATATTGAGAATAGTTCAAAAACCGGAGAACTTGAACAATTCTTTCTCTCACCCAAACCCCCAATGAATTTTTAAATATTTGAGACTAAATGAACACATTTTTCGACATCGATTAAGCGTGCCTTTTTAAGCTCGCGCAAAAAACTCTCAAATCAGTCCTCGCACCAAAAAAAAAAAAAAAAACTGCAACGCTCAGTGACATAACCTCGATTCCTTCTCGAAGAATAACCCATCCCATATTCCTCTCAACCTCGCCTGACGATTCAAAACCCAGCTCAAAGTTCATCTCTGCCATTTACGGTACCTTAAACCGAGAGAAAAAAAAAGACGGAGAATGTACAAGGAAACACACAACAAAAAAACTTGTACAGTATCTTGTTCAACTACAACAACTCGCATGCAAAGGCACAAAAATAAAAAAATGCCTCGGGATTTTCACGACATCCGGAGCGAGTTGGTCACGTGACGTAACATGAATGCTACTCGGGTGGGGGTATCAACAAAATAATTGAACATGATCATGCAAGTGACAGCAATTTCGGGCTACCCCTCGCTGGAATCCTTACCCGCCATGCAGAGACCATGACCTAAACAGAACAAATATTTGCAATTGACTACCGGGTGGAAAAAAAAAATATATATATATATAAATGCACTGGACCAAACTTTTCCCCCCGCCGACACAGGATATCAAGGAAAACTGTTGTTTTAAGAGACAAGACGGGGTCAACGAGAATAGATACACGAAAGAAGAGCCCAAGCTTTTTTTTTTCTTTTTACAAGTCTCTCTTTTTTTTTGCAGCTCGTGGATGAAACTCACATGTCCCTTGGCAATGGTTTTGTATGCACCCTGGACGATCCAGTATGTCCAAAATATATGCAAACACATGAGACACAGGAGCAGTATGTTGAAAATATAATAGGCTGGGAACGTAGGGTACAACGTTGGGGCTTCCAAGGCACAACTGCAACACAAAAAAAAAACACCGACATCCGCCTCAATTCCTTCTTCTTCCTCCTCCTCCTCCTTCATGACTATTATACCTACAAATATATTTTTCTCTCGATACTGAGTGAAACCTCGGTTTACGAAGGCATCAGTTGCAACAGATCACCTTTCCTGTCAGCAAGAAAAATTGGTCTCATTGACCAAATACATTTACACCTTTCATATCAGCAAGAAAAATTGGTTTAGCCTACCAATTACATTTGTAGGGGCACACAAAGAGGGCCATAGGAAAAAATCTTGCAAAAATACATCGCAGTGAATTACTTTGAATTTCGGCTCCATCTCCGCGGGTTATTCTTATGCAAGGGTTGTCCCAGTTGGTAGCGACCTCCAATATTCTAAGAATAGGTGCAATTGTAAAACAAAATCCTGACATAGCCCCATTGAAGTTCTAAGGTTCTGGGTTTTTTTTTGATTATAACAAAAAGTGTTTCAATTTACAATAAGTGAAAACTTCCGATTACATCCAGAGCTCTCTACACATTTCACAGGATGCTAAAAGTTTGTCAGGCTAACTAAAAAAAAAAAATGTATTTTGCTGCTCAAAGCTTAAACCATTATCTAAATTCTAAATCATAGGAAAAGATGATAGGTACATTTTTTTATAATTTGTCATTTGTTGAACAAACATAATTTGTTAGCATTTCACACGATGCTAAAAGTTTATCAGCCTAACTAAAAATAATTCAATTTTCAGGTTCAACCATTATCTAAGTCATAGAAAAAGATTATATGTGAAAATCAAAAAATTTAAATTGTTTTAGCTGACCTGACAAATTTTCATGACTTTGTGACACAGGTGGAGAATTATGGTTGTATCTGGAAAGATTCACTTATCATTATGCAGTAAATTGAAAACCTTTTTTAAATCAGAAAAAAAATTCAGAACCCCAGAAAATTATTGGCCATGTCATGCTTTTTTTTTTTTTTACAATTACGCCTACTCTAAAAATATCAAGAGGTCGCGTCCAACTCGGACAACCGTCGTACAGTACTAAGATTTTACAATAACATTCCGTAATAAAATCGAAATTTGTAAAACGGAAAACGTTAAAAGTAAGTTCGAGCGAAGTTTAGTCAACGGGATTTGATATCATCACGGTTCTTCCTGATTCTATGTAAGAAAAAACCGGGGTTTAGCTCAAATTAGAAATCACATTCGTCACTAGAAAGAGTCAAGAAAAAACCATGTACTTCTACGATGAATGAAAATGATGAGAGAAAATTGACCTGAGCCAAATTCCATCCAGATGACAGTAATACTCTTTTTCCTGATGGCCTAACGAAGGACTTAGTTCCATGCCAAATTAAACCATGTTTTCCACAACGCAACATACAAATAGTTTCCGAATAAATTTTGCTTAGATTAATTTTACCACATTAAATTGTTCATGGAAGTCCAAGTCTTAAAAATTCAATTACGTTAATATTTCCAGTGACAAAGCGGATTTCAAATTCAGGCTAAAACATCCCCTCAAATGCTTCAAATTACGTGATGAAAAAAATCAGAAACTTCAAGATTTAAAATTGATTCCGCTCAAGAAATTTTGAATAATTTACATTGCTGCAATTAAATGTGATTAAAACAATCAACAAAATAATCCAATTCTTAGCAGACGGAAAGGTTCAAAAACCGAGGATTTCCTTCTCAAGATTTTGAAAAATTAAGTCGAACGTTGAACTACAGAGATAAAAATGACCGAAATAAAATATGTGTGTTAGTTCATCGATCATCATCCTAGAATCAATTCAATTAAATTGTTCGGAATTTTAGCAATCAAAAAATCTCCGTCATTTTCCAGATCGCCGATCCTGAAGGAAACTCCGTTATTCTTGGCCAAAGTAAGCTTCATTTCCGAAATGTTTTTCGCACGGAAACGGCGAAAATTACTCTCAAATACGGACATCAGCGATCTGAAAAACAAACGTCGCAAATATTAAATTAACCTACAACAAACAACAGAAGTTTAAGGATTTCAGGCATAACGGCATTTTGAAAAGTGGAATCGAGATTCACTGATCGGCGATCGTCGGCAATTCTGGATTTTCCTTTTTATATACAATTGCTGGGACAAACACAATTTTTTTTCCCACTCACAAATTTCACCACCTCTCGAAAAGTTTCCCCTGGAGTAACCCATAGAATCAAAACCGCAATTGCGCACTTCAGTAACCAAACAATTCGGAATTCTCATGCTTCCAATTTTTTTCTTCCTTTTTTTGGCAGCACACACACAAGTGTGGAAAGAAAAGCGAAGCAAATCCCGCACCTAAGAAATTTCCTAACCAAAAGCGGAGCTAGTTTTTTTTTTCGGCAACCACCCACATCAACCAGCCACTTAGAAATATCACCATTTCTTTTTTTTATGGGCATTCCTCTTTTTCTGTCACCGGAACACAAATTTCAACAAGGGGCAGATTCGAATTTAGAAAAAAAACTCAACGAGAGAGTTCATCCCCGAATTGAGCACACACCGCTTGCATAAATAAATCATAACATCCCGAAACCCTGACTAAAAAAAACGTTGCTTTGCTCAAATCGACGAGAACAAAAAAAACGAAATAAATAAAAACGACACCGATCACAGCGACGAAAAAAACAGAATCAAGCGCTGAACACGGAGAGATAAAAAAAAATAAGCCAGCTTTCGTCTACTTAAAACAAACAAAAAAAAAAAAAACGTAAGAAAAATTGAGAAGACCAAAAACGCAGGAAGCTCATGACATCGTTTTGGTTGCAAAGAAGGGGATAGGGATGATGGGGGTAGGTGGAGGGTAAAAAAATACACCGAGAAGAACCATTCCTCCATCTTTCTCTCCCGCACTTCAATAACTGTTCTTTTTTTATCCTTCTTCAAATTGTCCTAATGAATCAATCGTTTCGAGGGAGATAAGGGGGAGCGGGGGGAAAAAAAAGAAACAGAGACAGAAGGAAGAACAAGTCGGGTTTGTGGCTTGCGTATACTCACCTCTCCGCGGGTACGGAGAGAGGTTCTTATTTGAATGAGAATAAACTTGGTCCAGTAGACGTGCAAACACAGTAGGCCGGTGAGCAAAGACATCAGAAACACATACGCGGGGTAGAAAGTCATTATATCTTTCCCATCTGTCACTATGCTGAGAAAGAGAAAACACAAAAATAAAAAACCGTTTTACAAGATCCGAATGGTGAGTTTTTTTTTTGCTTTTTTTTTTTTTTCATCACGGTCTAGTTCCTGGTTTTAAAAAAAAGGGGAAACCTTTGGAGAGGCTCGTTTCCTACCTTTTCAAATGCTCAATAACGTCAGAGGAACATAAAATCAAAATACATACATCTCCCTTCAGTGTTTACCATGAAAAAAATAGTGCGCTTTTCTACACAAGATTCTGCTGGAAAACGGAAAATCACGGACTCCAACGAAACTTATGAAAAACGGTCAGCACAGTACCTGTAGATGATCTTGAAAGGAAAGATTCCGAGCCGAGAAATGATCCAAACAATTGTGAACACAGCGAAGAGGATGTTGCACAGGTTCAATTTTCCGGCGTATTTCGCCATCTTAGCACTCTGATGATTTTGGAAAAACCAAATAAATAAAATATCCATACAAACGAGTTCAGCTTTCACGCGCTCGAGGTTCGTGTACACCAAAAAACAAAACAAGAACTGTACATGAATAGCTATTTAATGAATCCAATTTAAATACTGTAATAAGCAAACGAAATTAGGAGACTTGGAAAATCAGAATACAGTACTGTAAATTTTTGTTACGACCAAGAATTCGCTCAGGAGTGTCATTTCTTTTTCTGTACCTTCCCAAATTCAGTTGAAAGCAGTTTCCTGGTCGAAAAATCAAATGCGTTAATTATAAAATTATTCAGTCCTTTTCCACCATTTCCGAAATATGAAAATGCCTTTTCTCCCATTTTACTCGGGACATCATTTATAATCCTCTAAACATCAAATTGCCTCATCCTTCAAGCGTTGAATTGCCTTCAAGGCATTTTACATTCATTTTGGATTTCGTTCACACGCGGTTTCTTCAACATGTCTCACAGAGGATTTTTCGAAAAATTGAACAATCAATTACCAACACCAACAACAAAAGCGGTACTCAGAGCCAAATGTAGTTTCTAAATCACCTCGAGAAAGATGTCGGCGACATCGTGAACAATGAGGACGAGTGTGCCGACCCGCGTCAAATTGCACGCCCACGAGAAGGACATGAGCATAATCGTGGCACAGTGGTGCACGAACATTTGCGCAAAATCACGGCGCTTCACATCCGTGAACTGGGACACCATCAACGCCCAATAGAACGACAACTCGATCATGTAGTACCACCACACGTCCGGGGTGATGTACTGAAAACATAATTCAAGTCTGATGTCACGCTTCAAGAAATATATTTACAGCACGTGAAATTCGCACTGAACCAAAATTAATTTTCCAGTTATTAAATTAGACTTTTAAATCAAGCAACAAAAATTCAACAAGCGGTTTGTCAATAGTAATTCCAGTCAAGAAAGAATCAGGGGGAAAAAACGGGATCATTCCCTTAAAGCTTCCAACAAAATACGGAAGAATGTCAGCTTTGAAAAAATTATCTGAGAAGCTTCACTGGGTTTTCTAAGGGAACATCACACATTATATCCGAATAATGGACGCCGTGAATGATGAATTTTTCCTACAAATCGGATTCCTGCCAATTTTTGACATTAAATACTGCATAAAAAAATAACTGTCCTTTCAGAAAATAGAGGAAGCATGGAATGGGGCTCCCAGCATAATTTTTTACGGTTCAAAGAAATTGTTTTTAATAAAGATCTCATAAAAAATTTTATATTAAAGATAGCTTTTTCATAATTTTGATTATGTTGAGCATCGTTTCCAATTTTACGATTTTCTCGCTTTCATTCTTGGTACGGTCTTATGTTTTTAATTTCCATTCATTAAAGAAAAACAATGAAAGAAATCTGAAAAGAATTGGCATGTACTGTACAGTAGCTTTATACCCGTCGCTCAAATTACTTTTTAAATGCCTGGTACAAAAATTTTGGTTAGTGAAGTATAACAATATCGTACTCGGAAAATATCATTTCTGCATAATAGATTTCCCACTAGAAATCAATAAATCTATTCACTGATTAAGCAGTGATTATACAGTGAACTCTCGCTACAACAAAGCCATTGGGACCAGGAAAATAGCTTTATTATTGCGAACA